AAAAAAAAAAAAAAAAAAAAAAAAAAAAAAAAGGCTACAATTTGTACTAGTTAACTTATAGCTTATTTTGTTAACTTCTAATCTTTGTATTCAAATCCATCTTGTTGCGTAGGATGAGTGCCTTACAAAAAAAAAAAAAAAAAAACAGCTTATCTTACATGTTTATTGAGATAGCAATTCAAAAAAGCCAGCTACCAAATGCTTTTATTACATTAGCTAACTTTTAAGTTATCACAAACTATCAAACAATCAACTCGAAATTAAAGTATCCCCATCTCATGCCAATCCGACAGGCACTTCCTTAAAAAGCCCATAGAGGCGTGGCCTCACAACCGCATTTGACTAACGGACTCCCGTAGCATGGCTCGAGCTCTTAGACATAGCCAACGTACGAGTTGGATCACGAGACATTAAAGTGTTTCCCTCGATTACTCAATCCACCCAAAGGTGCTTGTCTGGCCAACATTCTTGTTGGGTCAATTAGGGGCTCAACGTGTGTCCTCCATCCTAGCACCAGGCCGCCCCTTTGGTTCCCAACACATTCGGGGACTTTAACTCTTCAACGAGATGCTTAGAACTGGCCTTCCCCATACCCCTAAGGTTCTCACTTGGTTTCTCAGTAGGACCCACGAGCATCGTTGCCACACGCCCGCAAGCTTAGGAAGGCGAGTGGAAAGCTCACCAGAAACCACAGTTATAAACGGCGAATAACGAGGCAACACGATTCGCCCACGGCCTATCCACGGGGCAAGAGGAGAGGCCTCGGCACAAAAGATATCAAAGCATAAAAAACACAATAATAGATAATGTTTGTATTTAAGTTCAATAGAAAAAACAAACTTAAGTTTTATAATAAACACAACAATGAAAAACAGAATTCAAAATAAAATTAGAGAAAGAAATATAATATCTGAAGTATGATATAATATAAACTAAATTAAATGGTACAAAGTACAACATTAAAAATTACAATTAAATAAAACCCAAAAAAAAAAAGAATCAAGAAAAGAACACGAAAATAGAAAACTAATATGAAAAGCAGAAAATGAAAAGAAAATAACAAAAATGATTTAAAGTAGCCTAACTTTATTACATTGAAATAGCATTATTAAACTGGCACCCAACTTGCCAAAGAAAATTAAATGTAAAGAAAAAAAAAAAAAGCATGTCATTTTGTTGCCTTTTAACTGTTTATTATTAGTTTCTCTACACAGAAAATTAACAAAAGTACGAAACAGTAAGAGACTAGAAAAGAATGATGGGACGAAACACAAAAGGAAAACAACAAAGAATACATAAGAAAATGCAAAACAGAACTGGAAAAAAAAAATATAGAAACTGTTAACCTCAGCCGCAGAGGCAGGATGGTGCCAGTGGTTTTAGAAGTTCGGAAACGAGGTGGGTCGACCGTTGGTTTCTTCAATTTTCATATTTCATAGGTATATATTGCCCTTAAAAAAACCTAGGTCTCGGTTCTTTTGTTTTCTTGGGAAGAGGGCGCCTGTGGCAAGAGAAAAGCCACTCTCCTTAACAGAAGCACACGCTCCCCGAGAAGTGGAAAATGAGAGATGACCATGTGCTGCCGCTAAAAACTAAAATGTTTGGAAATGCAAGGAGTATATCTCTCTCGTTCTCCAATGTCCAATTGACTCACTGTTTGAATTGTGTTCGAGCTTACAACTTTCTCTATGTTTATACCAAGTTTCATCCACATTAAATGCACCATCCAACAAGAATCATACATGGCATCTTTCATACCAAACACGGAGTCGCTCCCTCCACTGCCACACCCAATTCCAATGCATTGCTCGCCGCTCAACAGAATCATCTAGCCTTCAAACTTTGCGGACACATTCCTCATCCCCATTGGAATGCCTCACCAAAACAGTTTTCCAAATAAGTCCTCCCTCCTCTCATCCCTCTGGTCCTGGCACCACGTCCTGTCTACGCGAACCGTTGTCGAGTGTCTTGTTCAAAAGCCCAAACTGACTCGGAATGACCTCAAAGTATTGTGGGGAGATCTAATCAACACAGAACATACCATTAGAATCACTTTGCAATCCCCACTTGGCAAGGGTCTCAGCCCACAGGACGCTAGCAGTTGCCCGGAGGGGCCGCTCCCTGTGGTCGCCCATTGCCCATCACATTCTCGCTTCACAAGTATGCTAGTCCCACACCAACTTGAGTAATCTCAAATCCAAGCTCGTGTGACATCTCTACCCCACTTGATCCATTGACGTCCTGGTCACGTGAACACTATTCTCACTATTGTCAATAATGCAGAGTGGAAACTCGAAAAGTACAAAGACAAGCAAAGGACCTCAAACAACCAACAACCAACTCCCAAGGCTAAACAAAGTGCCTCTTGCACAATTTTTTTCCAAAATAGTTGCCCACTGTACCAACTTTCAAAGGAAACAATCGCCCCAGATGTGGTTTTGGTTTTGGCTCACAACCACACTTGAAAATGATTTTGAGTTACAACCCAACTAAGAATTTACTCCACTTGCCTCTTCTCGAACGACATTGTTTTCCTATTCAAAGCAAAAAATTCGCCCAATTCTACCAAATCTCTCTCACACGATATGGGCCAACTTGGAATCGAACTAACCAATCTCCTACAAAGCTAGCACATTGGCTGTTTGTGACCTGTCACTCAGGCCGCTCACTTTCACATTGTAATCCGACTCTCTCACCAGTAGAGACGTGTGCAGTTCTGTCGCTCCCTCCCGCTCGCATTTATCGTAACCAGCATTCTTGTTGGTTGACATGTGTAGTTCTGTCGCACCCTCTTGCTCGCCTAAATCAAGTATAAACAATCCTCAATAATCTTTTCCATAAATGATAGTTGTTCTCCCCTCATGGCCCTGTGACTAGCAATCCTTACCAATAAAGATAACACACAACTTGTTATCTGTAAAGAGTTGAAACACAAATAGACGATTATATTTAAATAATGGCACAATTAAATCTCCAAGCTGTGTCACTTCAATCTTAAATCCATTAAGCAAATGCACAATAGTGAAAAGAGTGTGATTTGCACACCAATCCCAAGTCAAAACAAATGTGCCTACTAGGCTACTAGCACATGTATCAATATCAATAATCCAGCTACCTTCATCCAATCTGTTCATTAAAGAAAAGGCAAAAATATCCTTGACACCTGCATAATCAACATAAATACAGTGAGAGAAATTGGGAGTTTCTCCTCTCAGGTTAACAGAGAGATATTTAGCAACCTCCTTTCGAATAAATAAGCTTATATTTAACAGTGAGTCACTTGTTTGAGATTTGACCTTTGAATCTCCCTTTGCTACTTCATCATTGTCCGACTGTATCTTTGTTCCTTTAGCTCTTTCTTTGTACCAGTCGGGATACCATTTAGCTTAAACCAACCTCGCATCTCATGACCATTACATCCATAGTGTACAAAAATCCTTAACCCTGTCTTCCTGTGATAGCCTCACTTCCTGGACTTTTTCTTGCATAATTTTAACCTTGTCCATATGAGCCACAACCACCATTAAGCAGTACCTCGTCCACCTCCTCTATTGTAATTCCCTCATACCATCATCATTGAAGTTTCTAGAGAATCTAAAAAGGTATGATGCAAAGATAATTGGTTTTCCACCTTTAGTATCATAGAGTATGCTCAATGGTCGGCAAACGATCCATCAACAATATTTGATTCTTAACTGGTTCAGAAACCACATTTAAACCCATAACGAACTGCATCAATTTAATTATCACATATAGCCTTTCTAGATCCACAAATACATTCCGGCAGTGAGACCAAACAAGCATAATCGTCCTGGAGACATTTAAGTTTAGTGTAATAGGTAGTCATTGAGAGTATACCTTGAGAGAAATTGTAAAGGATCCTTACTCTCACGTGAGGTCGTCCCAAAGTTTCTTCGAGCTTTTGACATAGACGAAAGCTTCAACAATATCCTAGAAAATGGAATTCAGAAGCCAAGAAATAACCATGAAACCTTTTGATATTGTTCGTATTCCTTTTCGCTCTGCTCCGGCATCTCAATTGTTCACGAATCCACGTTTTGACTTCGCCCCCAAAGCTAACTTCTCGGCTCGCCTCCAATGCAAGTAACTCGAACCATTAAGCTTACTTGTAACAAGTACCATCCGAGGATGATTAGATCCATGCACAGAAAGTGGATAAGTGTCACGCGACTAGTTGCTTTTGCCGATGATCTACTTCTCATGTTCTTCTTTTCTTGGTCCCGATTCTCGTTGCAAGCCATTGTGATCTTAGATTTCCTGTTCTAGATACAATGTAGAAATGGAAAATATCTCGGCATTTCTATAAAAACGTGTATTTTGGGAATTTTAGCTACTTTCTCATTTCAGCCATTAATGGATTATTCTTAAGCTCAAAAAGCTAAGTATAGGTTTCCTATATACTAATAGCTCATGACTTAAGCTATGGGATTTATATGACCAATCTGACACGTGACCTAGTTGCTCTAGTTGCAGAACAAAAGAAACAATACAACGTAGAAAATGAGATTCAGTGATCAGCTTGAAATTAACCAATCACCTATCAGCACCAGACATACAAACACATAAAGTACAAAAACACAGAACTAACTAACCATCAGGACCAAACATACAAGCACATAAAGTACCAGAACACAGAACTAACTAACTAAAAGAACAGCTTTTGTAGTAAAAGGTACCAGAACGGCTTTATATTAAACAGAACTACTCAACGAAAGAAGTAATGTTCGATTTGTTTCCCCCTTTCTTGGAGCATAAGATGCAGTAAACTTTACCTGCATGTCTCGGCAACTCTAGGATCATTTTCCCCCAAGGCTTCCATCTGTACCTTTAAACCTTCCTCATAACAGTTGATAGATCGATCCAAGTGACCCAGCATCGAATGAGTATCACCCAACTGCATATAACCCGAAAACACCGCCAGCGCGTGATCCGCACCCCTCTGCACTTCCGGGACCTTAATCGCCCTCTCCAGAACCGGCACCGCCTCCTCGAACTTCCCTAGGCTACAATAAATTGCCGCCACAACGTGCAAACTCATAGACAAGTCCAAGCTCGGCTCGCCTTCGGTGGCACATTTCTCAAAACTCCTCGACGCGCGCAGTGCGTAATCCAAAGCCTTGCTCGGGCCTTCGCCCGACGCTATCGTGTCTCTGGCCAATTTAAGCAGAAACGGGCCGAGATCCGGGTTGTCTAGCGAGGATTCATTAAGTAGGCTCTTCTCCGGCGAGGACTTTTTCCTCGCGGAACCCCGATCTGGAGAGGGTTTGGCCCGTGAGGTGGACGGGGAGGAAGCTGGCGGCCGGCGTGTGGCCGGGGAGCTGGATTTCGGTTCGGATCTGATGGTTTCCACGACTTGACGGATCGGCGACTCGTCGGGGACTGTAATTCGCAGCGGAGCAGCGTCGGGCGGCGTTTTAACTGATACCAAGCCCGGCATTTTTGGGGGAAGGATAGCCGGAAATGAAGCAGAGAAGGTGTCGTTTTGATCGCAAGAGAAGGTAATTAGGGGCGAGTTTATTATAACGGACTAAAAATTAATTCAATGGATTTTTTTACTAACAAAAAATATATAATAAAATAAAGTGGACAAAAAAAAAAAATAGAATAGAAAATGAGTGGCCAAAAATAAAAAACTCGTATTCAGCAAATATTTTCACAGAAAAACGTATTTATAAAATACGGTTTATTGATTTTTTCAAAATAAACTGTATTCATATAATACATTTTAAATTAGAATAATTAATTATCTTAATTAAGTAAATTATTCAAACATAAAACGTATTACTAAAATACGTTTTCTTATTGGGAACAAAGAAAATGTATTTTCTTAATGCGTTTTATAATTCATTTTTTTTAGAATTGTTTTAAACGTACCGTATTTCAAAATTACGTTTTAGAAAAGAAAAAAAATTTAAAGTTATATGAATGCAGAAATTTTTTTTAAAAAAACTGATAAAATAGGAATAATAAAAACATATTCACGTAATATGTTTTTATGTGAAAATTTCATTGACCGTATTCTTGAAATACATTTTTTATAAAATCAATTTTAAACTAAATCAATTTCATTAAAAAGTATTTCACAAATTCGTTTTCTGAGAAAACCTTAATTCCTAAATCATAAAATCGATTATACCCTAAAATTAATTTGGGTCAATTCAATTTGGATGAATACATATTTGAAAAATACGGTTTCATCAAAATAAATTATGTACAATAAACGTATTTATAATTACGTTTTCTAAGTGAAAAAATTGAAAACGTATTAGTGAAATACGGTTTTAGCAATTGAAAAAATAACTCCTATTAGATATCATTTCACAACCAAATATACTTGTTCACAACCAAATATACATGTTTGAGCAACTAATATCAACATATTCGCTCAATAATAATCCAACATACACTATAAACAAACAAATAAAACACAATAATTTGTTGAACAAACAATATATACAAAACGCAATCCAACAATTCAAAATGAACACAAAATCCATGAATTCAACACAACTAACTAGGAAGGAGTGTATGGCTGCTTAGGCCTGCGCAGTCTGGACCCCTTCCGAGTATATACCATGTGAGAAGAAGACGAAGGTTGAGGTGTGAGAAGCGTGTCAGTTTGAAAAGCTTGCGCATTTTCATATTCTTCATCTGAGTAATTCAATTGAAAAAAGAAATCATAAATTGGGCTGAAAAAAAAAAAAAAAGAAATTGTCAATTTAAAAATCTCACCTTGTTGAGGCTCGGGCTGCTCAGGTTGGAGGTGTTGGGCGGACGGCTGAGCGCGAGGACGGGCCCGAGATCTTCTACCCCCACCAATGTTAGGGGCGGGTTGATGCCTGGCCGTGTGTGACTGTGTCCTCATGGGACGAATGTATTCGTCCTGGGAGAAAATTTGACTGGACGACCCCCCATGAGGAACACCCTGGCCCCCAACAGTCAGATAAGAGAAGGCAAAGTTATACGACTGTTGGAAGTCGGTCTGCACTTCTGGAGGGATTTGGGGTTGAATATCGAATAATGCGCCATAAACCCCTTGTAGTGCAGAAGTCTGTAAGTAAAATTTATAACAATTAGTATGAAACACCAAAAATAATAATAATAATAATAGTAATAATAATAATACGTAATAATAATAATAATAATAATAATAATAATAATAATAATAATAATAATAATAATAATAATAATAATAATAATAATAATAATAATAATAATAATAAACACAAATAATGAACACTTACCTGACAGCCTAACCGCTCGGCAAGTGGCTGACACCCGCCCACCTGTTGGAACACCGAGTAGCCGAGGGCACTCGTTCTCGAGGGAAATTCTAGTTGCACCGTGGCTCGCGAGTTTCAGGGAAATAAATCTTATCTTTGATGGGTCGAGCGATCCGTCGAGGCATGTGAGGGCGTTTGAGAATATGTCCGTTGTGCATGGATATTCAGACCCAGTTAGCTGCAGGGCATTTTTATCGACCCTACGAGAGGGCGCACTTGATTGGTTCCACCAGCTGGCCCCGGGGTCGATTCAGGATTTTGAGGATTTTGCTGGACAGCTGACCGATCAATACTCAAGCGCAGTGGCTCAGGAGAAGACGTATCTCACCCTGATGGCGATGCGGCAGGGGGAGAAGGAATCTTTACGCAAGTACGTTGCTCGATACAACCAAATGTGTTTAGAGGTGCGCACGGCGGTGGACGAGGTGAAGGCGGGAGGTTTGATTAGGAGTCTGCGACCGGGTCCTTGTCGGACGTTGTTGGCAAAGACGCCTGCTCGAACTTATGATGAGGTGCTGAAAAGATGCAAAAAGTACATAAACTTGGAGGAGACGGAGCCGAATTTGCCAAGCTCGAGGAGGTGGCGAAGCCTGAGCCGAAGAGGGGAAGGCCGAATTGACCCAGGAGAGACTCACCTAGACGGAATACCCCAAAGAAGGGCCCATCCCGGAAGTTCTCGCCCAATGGAGATAAGTGAGGCCCATGGCGCTCTGAGCGAGAGGACCGTTGGCAAGGACGACCTCTTTTGAAAAATGGCCAGAGATATAATACCTTCACACCAATAAACGTGAAGGTATGGGAGATTTTGGTGGCGATTGAGGAAAAGTTGGAAAGCAAGGAGATCACTTGGCCGGCAACGAGGTTTGAAAGGCCAACACGACCCAAGTCGAGCCGATATTGCAGATTCCACATAGATTACGGGCACACCACAGAGGATTAGGCACTTGAAGGACGAAATTGAACGCCTCACAAGGGCTAGACACTTAAGGGAATTTCTTATCCGTGATCGACCACGTGGTAAGGAGAAGAGGAGGTGCAGGGAGGAATCGTTGGTGAGGAGCGATAGAGAGGACGATGGAGAGGACGATGCTCGAAGGGAGAGAGGTGGTCGATGGGGTGAGGAGGATAAGAGGAGGCGTGGCAATAATGGTTGAGAAGGGCAAGGAGGAGGGGCCCCAGTGAAGAGGGGTACTATCTATATGATTTCTGGGGGGGGCGATAGATGGAGATTCGAACAACGCCAGAAAGGGGCATGTGCGAGCCATAAAATGCAAGAGGGAGGAAGTCGGGATTACTGGTCGAATGCTGGTAATCAGCTTTCGAGCGGAGGATGCTGAGGGGGTTTCACTACCCCACAATGACGCGCTGGTCATCACGGCGGAGGTCGCAAGGTTTGATGTGAAGAGGGTGTTCATTGACATGGGAAGCTCAATCGATGTAATGTTCTATGATTTCTTCGCGCAGATCAAAAAACATTTGAACTTGGAGTTGAAGCGGGTGGTGACGGCATTGTATGGTTTTAATGGAGGCGAGGTGATGCCGATGGGCGAGGTGAGTTTAACAATGGCATTGGGATCAGGTTTCACGAGGAAGGTGCATGGTGAGGTTTGTAGTAGTCGGTGCGGAGTCATCTTACAATATCATTTTGGGAAGGACAGGGTTGAACACATTCCAGTGGTCGTCTCAACATACCACATGACGATCAAATATCTGGTGGTTGAAAACGTGGGCGAGACCGCAAAGGATCAGCTTAACTCGAGAAGCTGCTACCAACCAACGGTGTGCAATAATAAGCAACTGGCGAGGAAACAGGAGAAAAACAAGGAGAACGAACCGAATCGACCAGGTGGGACGAGGTCGAAAGAGGAGAAGGATAAGCAAGATAAGGGGAAGGGAAAGGTGGACATGCAGCCGGGAGCCGAGATTGAGGAGGTCCAGATGGTTCAGGGCTGTGACGACCGAAAATTCAGGATCAGAAAAGAGCTGGAGGAGCCGATCAGGACTAGATTGGTCGATCTAATATGGGAGTTCGCAGATATCTTTGCCTACACTGCTGAGGAACTGACGGGGATTGACGCCAAGGTGATCAAGCATAGACTAAATATCGACCTCAGTGTGAGGCTGGTAAAACAAAGGAGGAGACACCATAGGGCGGAGATGGACAGAATAATCGAGCAGGAGGTAGAGAAGCTGATGAAGGCAGGCCACATTACAGAGATCCAATTCCCAGAATGGTTATCGAACACAATAATGGTGTCGAAGTCTGAAGGGAAATGGAGGATGTGCATTGATTTTAGAGATTTAAACAAGGCATGCCCGAAAGACCTATATCCACTGCCAAGGATCGACAAGCTTGTAGACTCCACGGCGGGGTTTGAATTGCTCAGCTTAGTGGATGTGTCCCAGGGCTACCACCAAATCCCCTTAGCCCGAGAGGACAGGAAGAGGGTGAGCTTCATAACGAGCAAGGGAACATAGTGTTATGTAGTGATGTCGTTCGGCTTGAAAAATGCAAGAGCAACCTATCAAAGGTTGGTCGATAAAATCTTCAAAGAGCAGCTGGTAGGAACATGGAGGTGTATGTCGACGACATGCTCTTAAAAAGCAAGGTGGAAGCGGACCATGTAGCAGACTTGAAGGAGACATTCCAAACATTGAGAAAATATGGCATGAAACTCAATCCTGCTAAATGTTCTTTCAGAGTGAAGGCGGGGAAATTCTTGGGATACATGGTGACAAGGCGAGGGATCTAGGTGAACATGGAGAAGGTCCGTGTCGTGGTCGAGATGAAACCACCAACAAATGTGAAGGAGGTGCAAATATTGACATGTCGAATAGCGGGGTTGAGCAGATTCATTTCCAAAGTTGTAGAGAAAATTGGTCCACTCTTCAAAACATTGAAGAAAAGCTCAAAATTCCAATGGATGGTCGAGGCTCAATAGGCTTTCGAAAAGTTGCAGGGGGTGCTTGCTAACTTGCCGTTGTTAGCCAAACATATCCAAGGGGAAGACTTGGTGCTCTATATATCAATTGGTGAGATTGTTGTGAGTTCTCTGCTGTTGCGCGAGGAAGGAGTAGGTCAATTCCCAATATATTATGTCAGTCGAGTTATGCAAGGAGCGAAGCTGAGGTACTCGAAAATCGAGAAGTGCGC